TAACATATAATATTATTGCCGAAATAATTGAAATATTAATAAGTCTCTCAATTTCTAGTAATAAGGATAAAATAATAAATGATCTGAAATTGAAATATTAATAAGTCGCGCAATTTCAAGTAGTGACACTTGTTAGGGCGTATTAAGCCAGTTACAATTGTCTTATATAATGCATAGGTACCATTGCCACCACTGGGCAATTTTTGCCTTGCGGGTGTACTACAGATAGAGATTGATGAGTCTCGGGAGGCGTCGGGAACAGGTGGATCCATCGGGAGGCCACGAGAGAACTGCGAACAGTTTCAATGCTTGCATTGTCAGGAAAACAGGCCGGGGAGGTAACCCCGGAGGTTTCCAGATCCGCAAGAAAACTCCGAAGATGTCTCGCTATAATCGTAAGTATATAAACATAAATTGTTTTTTCTCTAGGGTGGTTTGATGGCCGAATGGGTAGCACGTGCGCGCAGTATATGGTCTGTCATTGAGTCAACTGTCGTGGTTTCGATTTCCCGGTTGTACGTGACAAGGAGTAAAGAAATAAAATTGAGTCGTGTGTTAGTCCCGAATGACCTAGTTTGTGTCGAGTGGACGTAAAGTCCCATTTCTCTCTCTTTCTCTCTCGCTATAATCCTCATAATGCCTCGTTCGGCATTTTTGTCCAAACGTGGCAAAAACGTGTTAAAATTTTTGCCACAATTTTACCACGTCCTAACGTGGTAAAAAAAAAGGCCACGTTTGTCTGGAGTTTTTGGAACGAGGTATTTTGTCCAGAACGGTTGTTCACAAGGGTGGATACATGATTTTTCAAAAGTGGTGTGGTGGGGTCTCGTCGACCGTATCAAGGAGGGCATATTTGGTGACACTTTCAAGCTATTATGTAGAGAAAAAAAACACAAGGCAAAATCGACTAGAAATGACATTCGTTGTATAAAAAGAAATTATTACATTCTTTGTTGCAATGAAAAACAGCCAAGTTCAAAGCGGAGCGAACTGAAAAATTGTATTTTAGGTCTTTGAAGCTTTATAATTACAAATATACTGTTCCTGTTTTTATATAATAAACGATATTATATACTATTCAAAAAAAGTAGGGGATATTTGATTTTTAAGTGTTATTAAAGTCACCTAATGAAACTGACGAAGAAACAAATGACAAAATGAAATGAAGTTCACATTCATCGATTTATTCCAAATGATCGTTAGACTAAGTAAGGCACAGACTGACCATTATAAGGGTAAAATGATACCCGGGGTCAAACAGCAAAGTTACCACAGCATCACAACCAAGTCAGTAACGGGTAAATCCTCCTCTGTTTGCCAAACAAGCATTGATCCGACGTGGCATACTCCTAATGAGACGTCTAAGGTCATTTTGGTCCAGATTGTCCCATTCCTGTTGCAACGCAGCAGCAAGTTCTTGGACTTTGGCAGGACGTTGTTGACGTTGACGTAACCTCTGTCCAAGCATGTCCCAGACATGCTCGATGGGGGAGAGGTCGGGACTCAGTGCTGGCCAAGGTAATGTGGTGATGTTCTGTTGTTGGAGGTAACCTGTAACGATCCTGGCCCTGTGACATCTTGCGTTGTCATTCTGGAAGATGAAACGGCGGCCATGACGTCGTGCGAACGGCACAACATGGACTGCCAAGATGTTGTCCCGGTAGTACTGGCCTGTAACACGCCCTGCAACAACATGTAAAGCCGTTCTTCCAGCAACAGTGATGCCTCCCCACACCATAACAGAACCACCCCCAAATCGATCATGTCTGATGACGTTAACGTCTTGGAAGCGCTCGTTTCGACGACGCCACACCCTCCTACGTCTGTCCAAAAAATCAACAGTGAACCTTGACTCATCTGAAAACATCACATTGCTCCAGCGTCGATTATCCCAGTGTTGACGATCCCTACACCAACGACGTCTTGCCTGAATGTGATGATCTCTCAAACAAGGGATCACGCGAGGACGTCGGGCGCGAAGGTGACCCCTATGCAGTCGATTCCGAATCGTCTGGCCACTCACTCTCACACCAGTGTCTGTTTGAAGACGAGCGCTGATCTGATTTGCTGTGATGACACGATTTCTCAAGGCCAAGGTACGGATAAATCGATCCTGGGCTTGAGTTGTCGCCCTTGGTCGACCTGAGCGTGGTCTGTCCTGTACAGATTGTGTATCACGGTATCTGGACCATAGCCTGCTTATGACAGACTGAGAAACATTCATCGTCCGCGCCACAACCGCCTGTGTTGTGCCGATCTGTAGCATGCCAAGGGCACGTAACCTTTCATTTTGGGTAAGCCGACGCATATCAAAATTTGTTTTCTGGTCACTAAAACAATTAAACTGATGTTTCCACCCTGGAATTCAATGCCACAATGACTGTAACATTCAAAGTCAGAGTCGTGCAAATCTTGGGTTGGACCCCCATGATGATCCCAAGCATCACCTGCATTCCATGCGGTAGCTATTGGTGCGTTTGGGCGTCACATGTAACTGGAAATGTTTCTTCTGTTAGGTTCTATAGTGACTTTTTTCGTAGTCATTTGCATATTTTAGTATTATGCCCCCAAAATCAAATATCCCCTACTTTTTTTGAATAGTATAGTTAATATATCTCATGAAACTTTATATGTAATTGGCACTTTATGAAATAGACACAATTTATGTTTATATAATGACATGCAAAGCGGGGCGATGCGAAATAATTATTAAACATAATTACATTTTCATCTTCCAGGCCTACGTCTAGATTCTTATTTAAGGGTCGATCTCGACTATATTTTAGAGAATAAAACTGCTTAATTTTGTGTTAAAGGCCCTTACGATCTTTCACCTCTGGTCCGAGCAACTTACTCAATATACGTGATACGTTTTCATCTTAATCCCGCCAGTTTTCATCTGACTCGAAACGGAGATCGGTGTCCCAAGCAGTATTACACGGTGTCTGGATAAAACCTGACTTTTATTTTATAAATGTACCTTTCGTTATCAAGTACAGCATGTGGGTCATGCACTGTATAGACCTCTAAAGGAACGGCACTAGATTATCAGGTCATCCAACAAAAAAAAAATTGAATCGAACCCTTAAAAGGGTTACGTATCCGGATAAGCAAATATTGCAATTTTATAAAAAAAAAAAATTAAAAAATTGACAAATAATGATAAATTTGGATGTTAATTCGAGAGAATTTTCTATTGTAGTGAAGACAATTACACATCCGCACCTCACCATACAAAAAAGTCCCCATTTGTCGGTATTATGTGTGGTCAAAGGGATGACAAAAACGTAGTTATTTACAGGTGAACGACTACAATACGTGTCAAGTCCACAGTATGATAGTATAGAGGAAATGACCTCGTTTGGCGGCGTTCCCAACTTACACCATGCGTGTTCTCGATTAGGCGTAACTAGCACAGGGACTCGGTCGGTCATATTTCCCCAATTATTTGCAAACTCCCATGTGTCCGCATTTCTTCTGTAAAAAGTCAAATGCATAAAATATATAAATTGAAGTATAATTTATATCTTTTCGTAATCGTTTGATGTAATATAATAGAGTTCAGAAATAACGGTGCTTTTCAGCTACATGCAATATTTATCAAGGCCTCGATTAGGAGGAATCAGTCAAAGTCCTCGATTTACACAATATTATACATGCATGTGTGTGTGTGTGGGTGTGTGTGTGGGGGGTGCGTGTGTGTGTCGCCTACAGGCCGCAATTCTTAACTGATCGTCTTGAAACTTTGCATACTTGTTCCTTGCACCCCAAGGATGGTCCCTATTGGTAGAACCACACTCTGATTGTTTGTTGTCTACAGGCCGCATTTCTTGGCGGATTATTTTGAAACTTTGCATACTTATTCCTTATACCCTAAGGATCACATGCATGCATGGTGCATGCTCTAACCCTAGGGACAGAGCCACGCCCATTTTCTCTTTGTGTGTATGTGTGTCGACTACTGGCGACAATTCTAATTGGATTCTCTTGAAAACCTTTCATACTTATTCCTTATAACCAAAGGTTGAACCCTGTTATTTTTGGTGCATGCCCCACCTTGAAACTTTGCATACTTATTCCTTCTATCCTAAGGAACATCCCTGTTGTTTGTAGTGAATGCCAACCACCAGGGCAGAGCCACACCCATTTTCTTTTTGTGTGTCCGTGTGTCACTTACAGCCCGCAATTCTTAATCGATCGTCTTGAATATCTTTTTATACTTATTCGTTATACCCAAAGACTGACCTCTATTATTTTTGGTACATGCCCGACCCCCTGAGACAGAGCCACGCCCAGTGTTTGTGTGCCCCGTATTTCGCCTACAGGCCGCAATTCTTAACAGATTCTTTTGAAACTTTGCATACCTATTCCTTTGGTGATCGCCAAACCCCCAGGGACAGGGCCACACCAAGTTTTTCTTTGTGTCTGTGTGTTGTCTACAGGCCACGATTCTTAATGGATTGTTTTTGAACTTGGGATATGTATTCCTTATAGCCAAAGGACGACAACTGCATGTCCCGACCCCAAGGGGCAGAGCCACGCCCAATTTTTGTGTTTATCGTTTACAGGCCGCATTTCTTAATGGACCAACTTGGTGAATGCCCCGACCCCAGGGGCAGAGTCATGCCCAATTTTTGCCTTTAGGGCCCGAAGGCTACAATTCTAAATGGATTATCTTGGAACTTGGTATAGTTATTCCTTATAACCGAAGGACGGCAACTATTGATGTTGGTGCCCTTTCGGTGGTGCCACACCCACTTTTTGTTGATATTTTGTCTGTAAATGATATACAGGTTGCAATTATTAAAAGATTTGGATACAATTCGGAATGATCCAGCATAGGGTTGTACCTATATATATTGGTCCATGTCCAACCCCAATGATTTTGTCTACAGGCTGGAATTCTAAATGGATCATCTTGGAACTTGGCATATTTATTTCTTATACTGTAGGGATAGCAACTATTTATTTTGGTGCATGTCCCGAACCCCAGGGGTGTGGTACCACATCCATTATTTTGTTAGTTTTTATCGGTAAGTACTCTACAGGTTGCAATAATTAACAGATTTTGTTCAAATTCAGCATATCAATCATTTCAATAACAGGGTGGTACCTATTTATATTGTTCCATATCCAAACCCCAGGGGCAGAGCCACGCCCAATTTTTGTTCTTATCGTCTAGGGGCTGCAATTCTGAATGGATCATCTTGGAACTTGCATATTTATTCCTTATACCGTAAAGACAGCAACTATTTATTTTGGCACATGCTCCGACCCCCTGGGGCAGTATCACACCCACTTTTTAAAATTAATATTTTGTCTGTAAATTTGACAAAACAAACCCAACGCCTAGCCTTCTTTGCCACTTGTCATATTACAGCCATTTCATATCTCATTCTCCTCATTTTAAAAAGTACCATATTAATCAAAGCAGGAATGTGGACGTATATTGCAGCGTTAGCGATGCTCTTGTTTTAAATACCCAAAATCATGTTGAACTGGATTCAAACGGAAGGAAGCCCGGATACTCTGACCGTGACGGGAGCCTTAAGCGGAACAAGGACGGGCCAAGCCACGGCAGCAGGCTTATTGTTTTTAATCAAGCAATTTTTATACGCCCACATTTTCATGTGGACGTATTATGCCGTAGCCCCGTCTAGAGGGCACAATTATTATCCGATTTAAAAAACAAACGTTCGAATATATCACCGACGGTTGAGTTAGAATTTCGTGAAAATCGGACCAAAACTGCCCAAAAAATGGCCGCCCCTCGTACGCAACATCAGTGTTGTGGACCGTCTAGAGCAGTGCTTCTCAACCTTTTTTGCCGACGGCACTCCTTGGAACACATGAAAAAAACAGCGGTACACCTGGCTAAATATACTATTCAAAAAAAGTAGGGGATATTTGATTTTTAAGTGTTATTAAAGTCACCTAATGAAACTGACGAAGAAACAAATGACAAAATGAAATGAAGTTCACATTCATCGATTTATTCCAAATGATCGTTAGACTAAGTAAGGCACAGACTGACCATTATAAGGGTAAAATGATACCCGGGGTCAAACAGCAAAGTTACCACAGCATCACAACCAAGTCAGTAACGGGTAAATCCTCCTCTGTTTGCCAAACAAGCATTGATCCGACGTGGCATACTCCTAATGAGACGTCTAAGGTCATTTTGGTCCAGATTGTCCCATTCCTGTTGCAACGCAGCAGCAAGTTCTTGGACATTGGCAGGACGTTGTTGACGTTGACGTAACCTCTGTCCAAGCATGTCCCAGACATGCTCGATGGGGGAGAGGTCGGGACTCAGTGCTGGCCAAGGTAATGTGTTGATGTTCTGTTGTTGGAGGTAACCTGTAACGATCCTGGCCCTGTGACATCTTGCGTTGTCATCCTGGAAGATGAAACGGCGGCCATCACGTCGTGCGAACGGCACAACATGGACTACCAAGATGTTGTCCCGGTAGCACTGGCCTGTAACACGCCCTGCAACAACATGTAAAGCCGTTCTTCCAGCAACAGTGATGCCTCCCCACACCATAACAGAACCACCCCCAAATCGATCATGTCTGATGACGTTAACGTCTTGGAAGCGCTCGTTTCGACGACGCCACACCCTCCTACGTCTGTCCAAAAAATCAACAGTGAACCTTGACTCATCTGAAAACATCACATTGCTCCAGCGTCGATTATCCCAATGTTGACGATCCCTACACCAACGACGTCTTGCCTGAATGTGATGATCTCTCAAACAAGGGATCACGCGAGGACGTCGGGCGCGAAGGTGACCCATATGCAGTCGATTCCGAATCGTCTGGCCACTCACTCTCACACCAGTGTCTGTTTGAAGACGAGCGCTGATCTGATTTGCTGTGATGACACGATTTCTCAAGGCCAAGGTACGGATAAATCGATCCTGGGCTTGAGTTGTCGCCCTTGGTCGACCTGAGCGTGGTCTGTCCTGTACAGATTGTGTATCACGGTATCTGGACCATAGCCTGCTTATGACAGACTGAGAAACATTCATCGTCCGCGCCACAACCGCCTGTGTTGTGCCGATCTGTAGCATGCCAAGGGCACGTAACCTTTCATTTTGGGTAAGCCGACGCATATCAAAATTTGTTTTCTGGTCACTAAAACAATTAAACTGATGTTTCCACCCTGGAATTCAATGCCACAATGACTGTAACATTCAAAGTCAGAGTCGTGCAAATCTTGGGTTGGACCCCCATGATGATCCCAAGCATCACCTGCATTCCATGCGGTAGCTATTGGTGCGTTTGGGCGTCACATGTAACTGGAAATGTTTCTTCTGTTAGGTTCTATAGTGACTTTTTTCGTAGTCATTTGCATATTTTAGTATTATGCCCCCAAAATCAAATATCCCCTACTTTTTTTGAATAGTATATATATGAAAAATAATTGAATTTTGCAAAATAAAAACATGGCAAGTCATGGACGACAGACTGGTTATAGACACATAGTAAGACTCAAACTAAATAAAGAAAAATACAGCTACTCTATGAACTTAATTCATTGCAATGTTTCGAATTTCATCAAATAGCTAGCTTCTTTATTGAGAAATTTTCTAAGTGTGCCGTTCAAAATTTCGTGGCACACTTAGGAAGATCTTGTGGCACACCTGTGTGCCGCGACACACTGGTTGAGAATCACTGGTCTAGAGAGAGAGAGAGAGAGAGAGAAATGGGGTTTAACGCCCACTCCACACAAACTAGGTCATTTCGGGACTATGGTTTAATTTTATTTCAATAATTCGCTTGCGCGTAGGGGTCTTTAGCAGTGGGAGGAAACCGGAGGACCCGGAGAAAACCCACGAGGTTGGACAGGCGACCCTACTCCTTGTCATGTACAACCGGGGATTCGAAACCACGCCAGTTGACTCAATGACTTAAGCTTTATGATACAGCGCGCACGTGCTAACCATTCGGCCACCCAACCCCCCGGACCGTCTAGAGGTGACAATTTTCATCTGATTTTGATGAAACATGAAATGCATCTTTATAACCCAAAGATCGTGGTTCCTTTCGATTTTCGCGCATATTGGATCGTAACTTCCTGAATTATGGCCCTTGGTTGTATGAAAAATAGCGTTTTAGCTTGTGGTCCCTCTAGAGGTCACAATTTTTATCCGATTTAAAAAAAACAAACAAAAAACGTGTGAATATATCACCGTTACACCGTAATGTTGTTTGAGTTCGAATTTCGTGAAAATCGGACCAAAACTGATGGACAAAATGGCCACCCATCGTACGCAAATAGTGTGAACATGTGGTATATCAAGGTTGTGGACCGTCTAGAGGTCACAATTTTGGTCCGATTTTGATGAAATTTGAAATACATGTTTATAACCCGTTACACCGTAATGTTAGTTGAGTTCGAATTTCAAGAAAATGGGACCAAAACTGCCTGACAAAATGGCGGCTCCTTGTACGCAAAAAGTGTTAAAGTATGTCATACCAAGATTGTGAACCCTGTAGAAGTCACAATTGTTATCAGATTTTGATGAAACTTAAAATATATGTTTATGGCCCAACGAACTCGGTTCCTGTCGCTATTTGCGCATATCAGACTTAACTTCCTGGATTATGGCCTCTGATTGTACGAAAAATCAAGTTTTTTTAGCTTGTGGATTCTCTAGAGGTCACAACTTTTTATCCGATTTTAAAAACTGTTTAAACATATTACATTCCACCATGATGAAGGTTGAATTCGAATTTCGGGAAAATCGAAACGAAACTGCCCAACAAAATGGCCGCTCTTTGTACGCAAATTGTGTAAAAGTATGTAATACGAAGGTTGTGGACCCTCTAGAAGCCACAATTTTTATCCGATTTTGATGAAATTTTAAATTCATGTTTATATCACAAAAATATCGGTTCCTTTCGATAATCGCTCATATTCGAATCGCTCATAGCCCCTGATTGTTCGAAAAATCACATTTTTAGCTTGTGGACCCGCTATGAGTCAAAATTTGTATTCAGTTTTAAAAAACGTTTAAATATATCACCGTTACACATCATCGAAGATTGAGTTCGTATATCGTAAAAATCTGACCCAAACTGCCGCTCCTTGTACGCAAATAGTGTAAAAGTATGTAATACCAAGGTTGTGGACACTCTAGAAGTCACAATTTTTATCCGATTTTGATGAAACTTGAAATGTATGATTATAACCCAAAGATCTTGATTCCTTGCGATATATGCGCATGTCAGACCATAACTTCCTGGATAATGACCCCTGATTGTACGAAAAAATCGCCTTTTTTTAGCTGGTTCCAAAAAAGTTGACTGACAGAATCCGATTTTAACCCTACCCACGCCACTTACTCACATTGAGAGAAGTCACCGGTTTTATTCTACTTTAATATCAAGTAACAGTGTATTGTTTTTTTATTAATTTATACCAACATTTAAAAAAAACAAAAAGCTATATTACTCGGTATAGCCCAGGGCCCCTCTAGGCTCAGGGACAAGTGTCCCAGCTGCCCCCCCCCCTCACGGGCCCTGGTTCCGGAACCATAGGCGTACATGGCCAAGCTCGGTTATTTCGGGGGGGGGGGGCACTGGGGCAATTTGCCCGAAAATCTTCTTTGTCACCCGAATTTTCAGAATGAATCAGTCATTAACTAGAACGAGTTTTCCACAAATGTTATTGCGTGGGGTCTTAAGTATTATAGTATTCAAAACGTAAACCACGCGCGATTTCATTTTACAATTATATTTCTATGATATGGTCTCACTCTCTGATGGTTGTTGCCGAAAAACGGAAATACATGGCGCGAAAAATGGACGGTTCATCGGGATATATTTAGTGTAGGATAAAGCACGAGACCGGGGTTATGCTGGGGAAAGAAAGGCTGAAGAAAATAACCTAGACAAATAAAAACCGAGGCCGACAGGCATAACCGTAGTCGAGGACTTTATCTTGCTTATACATGTATAAAACCCCTGGAGGAAGAAACCGTTACAGGTTTAAAGAAAAACTTTTAAAAGAATAACCCCGAATTCCCCTGTATATATTTATTAAAGCTGCCCCGACTTTCAGACCGCAAGTTATTCCGGGCACAGAATAAACCCCAAAGATCAAAGAGATTTACCGTTATAGGTTTATAATTGTGAATAAAATTCAGTAGACGGGTGACCTATTTTTTGAATATAAATTTCCTGTAATTACCTCCAGTTGATACTTTTCGTTGTCCAAACCCAAACGATCGAAATGATTGCGATTTGTTTTGATTGTAAAATTTAAGCCCGCCCCCCTTTTTATTTTATGGATCGAATCTATTTTATGTCCCTTGGAATATTTCAGGTGGTTTTTTATCCAATAGTTTGGCTTTATTTACTGATGTACTTCACCTAGGCAGTGATTTAATTAGTTTTACTGTTAGTCTCGTCTCAGTATTTTTATCACAAAAAACAGCTAATAAAACCATGTCATTTGGATACCATAGAGCAGGTATGTATGCATTCCATCTAATGTTGACCTGAAATGATGAGTTTAATTTGTTATAATAATGTATAACATTTATTTAGCCCCTTCGAACCCACAATATCTTTTTCTCTTCTTTTTTTCGACGATTCCTTTTTTTTTTTTTTTTTTTTTTTTTTTTTTTTTTTAAGTTTGGAGTCACCGATTTTGGCTTTAAGCAAAATAGGGTCTGTCGGGTAACCGTTTTATTCGTGTTGGCGGGGGCTTGGGGAGACGAACGCTGAAATTGAAGCAATTCGTTAATTGAAAGGGTTAACGACTCAAATCTATAGTTTGAATGTTTTGAAAAAGATCCATCACTGTTTTAGGATGAATATGTTATATGTTTTCCAGTATGGGGATTTGTAATATGAACCATTTGTTATTGTAGAAGTAGTGGGTGTATTATTCAGTGTTCTGATAATCTGGATAACATCGGGTATTCTGTGTTTTGAAGCTGCTGAAAGGATTATCTATGATTACTATAAAGATGTTAAACCGGATGAAATGTTGATTACAGCTGGAATTGGTGTGTTATTTAATTTCATGTAAGTTTACTTTCACGGTACGCATTTGTTTCTGACGTTTCACTTCAACCAACATACATTAACACCGCACAACAGTATTGAGCAAGTAGCGCTCATGTTTTCTTCCCGGACAAAAGATGTTTTTTTAAATATTGATTCACATCTTACATGTGTATCTAATTTGTTGTTTTGTGCTGTGTTTCTTTATTGTTTTTCGGTGTTCCCTTAAATATTTCACTAACAAACTTGTGTAGTCTCATTGTGTACTAACACCCTTCTTGTTCCATGGCGAATTCATGAGTTTGGACACACTTAAGAAAATTCACATTTTAGGGGCTTTCTTTGGATTGGAGAGCTGCTCTAACACCATTCTTGCTGCTGCATGGAGAATTCAGGAGTTTAGACATAGTTAAGAAATTTCCCATTTTTAATTTACTTTCTTATGATTTCAGAATGGCAGCAGTGCTAAATTCTAATAGCTCCTGTTGTTCGTCTGGTTCCATTCCACAGTTTGGACACACCCACTCTGGTGACAGTAAACACGTGTCATATGGTACTACCGGTGACTATGAACCACTCGATGAAAAACCAGCAAAAAACAAAAATATCAACGTAAAGGCTGCTCTAATACACGCTATTGGTGATACTGTACAGAGTTTGTGTGTGTTAACGGCTGCTTTAATTATTAAGTTCACGGTAATTAAAGATTTTATTCTGTCCATTTTCATCTTTCAAATCGCAGGAGTGGTCTTGGCCCTTGTGCTTTGGGGCAGTGACGGGTGTCATTCACTGAGTAGGGTATGATTACTCTTTCTAGAACATAATATGGCATCACGCTTTTTATACGCCCACATTTTCATGTGGACGTATATTGTCGTCGCCACCGTCCGTCCTTCCATCCGTTCACATTTATAATTTTGTTTGTGGACACTGTACAGGTCATAATTTCTATCCGATTTTGACGAAACTTGATATAAAGGTCTATCTCCCAAACATCTCGGTTCCTTTCGATATTGGCATTATCGGACCATACCTTCATGGATTATGGCCCCTGATTGTACAAAAAAAATGACGTGTTTAGCTTGTGGACACTCTAGAGGTGACAATTTTCATCTGTATTTGATGAAACTTAAATGCATGTTTATAACCTAAAGATCCTGGTTCCTTTCGATATTCGCGCATATCGGATTGTAACGTCCTGAATTATGACCCTTGATTGTACGAAAAATCTCGTTTTTAGCTTGTGGTCCCTCTAGAGGTCACAATTTTCATTCGATTTTAAAAAAAAAACGTTCGAATATACTGTATCACCGTCGGTTGAGTTCGAATTTCGTGGAAATCGGACCAAAACTGCCCGACAAAATGGCCGTCCCTCGTACGTAATATCAAGGTTGTGGAACGTCTAGAGGTCACAATTTTGATCTGATTTTGATGAAACTTGACATACATGTTTATAACCCAAAGATCTTGGTTCCTTTCGATTTGGATCGTAACTTCCTGAATTATGACCCTTGGTTGTATGAAAAATCGCGTTTTAGCTTGTGGTCCCTCTAGAGGTCACAATTTTTATCCGATTTAAAAGAAAAACGTGTGGATATATCACCGTTACACCGTAATGTTGGTTGAGTTCGAATTTCGTGAAAATCGGACCAAAAGTGATGGAAAAAATGGCCACCCATCGTACGTAAATAGTGTAAACATATGGTATATCAAGGTTGTGGACCGTCTAGAAGTCACAATTGTTATCAGATTTTGATGAAACTTAAAATATATGGTTATGTCCCAAAGATCTCGGTTCCTGTCGCTATTTGCGCATATCAGACTGTAACTTCCTGGATTATGGCCTCTGATTGTACGAAAAATCGTGGGTTTTTTTTTTAGTTTATGGATTCTCTTGAGGTCACAATTTTTTATCCGACTTTAAAAACCGTTTAAACATATCACATTCCACCATGATGAAGGTTGAATTCGAATTTCGGGAAAATCGAAACGAAACTGTCCGACAAAATGGTCGCTCTTTGTACGCAAATTGTGTAAAAGTATGTAATACGAAGGTTGTGGCCCATTTAGAGGTCACAATTTTTATCCGATTTTGATGAAACTTAAAAAATATGTTTATGTCTCAAAGATCTCAGTGCTTTTTCACATTTGAGCACTTCAGACCATAACTTTCTGGATTATGGCCCCTGATTGTACGAAAAATCGCTTTGTTTTTAGCTTGTTCTCTATCCATCTCTTGTAAAATGTGGGCGTATCTTGCCTGGCAACCGCTGGTTTATAGGAAAGTTCACATGACCATGGACCGTATGATACGGTCCATGACATGACTAACTGCGATATCACCTCGGTGGAAGCGTACGTAAAATACCACTAACTCACACACACTAACAAACTATTGTTCGACTTTTGTATATCTAAAGCACTAGCTCATTTATAATTGAGTTTAATCCGGTAACGTACACGAGGCATGTGTACGTACTTCTGACATATCTTACAAAACTGTCATGGCACTTTCGTTTTAATTATGATCATTAGTCTGTCCTTTGGAGACCAGAATCCGTTTTGAGACATAAAACGAATATTCAAGTAAGTGCTTTAGTTCGTACGTCTATTACAGACATTTTTATAACTATATTTTACATTTATCTATTTTAGAATGCACCTGAATACCGCCTGGCTGATCCAATCTGTACCTTTGTATTCTTTGTAATTGTATTAGTGACCACCGTGACTATTTTACGAGACGTTTGCCGGGTTCTATTAGAGAGTAAGACCGTTTTCATCTATGATGTTCTAATTAGTTACCGAAGAATGGACAGACACGATTATGAGCTAGATTCGACTCTTTACCATGTACTCATATCTATACTCATCGGAAGCCATTGGATATTTGGTGAAATGAAATGTTGTTTATGTCCTACTTTTCTGCTCCGGTCTAATGAAGACGGGCGTATTCCATACAATGTGTCATGAGAGAAATGCTGCACGGAGAGAGGCGCTGCGACCTACCCTTATATCGAACTCCAACTGTCAAGGGTTCTTTTACTTGCACGCCAATGTGTACACTGTACACACTGGTGTGAATCACTGGATCTCGGGTTTTCGTTCCATCCGAACGACTATATGTTGTCCCTTGCCAGGCCCTCCGTCCTGCTAACAAAGAGAAACCATGCCGGAAAATCCACATGACCGTTCTCGGCAGTCACCTGGATCGAACACAGGACAGCCACCTCCCGGTTAGCGAGCTAACTTCTTACCCACTTAGCCACCGCTTTTCCCTGTCCAGTTCGTTCTGTGTTTTGTCTTATTTGTATTCCATTATGAATATATTATTGGGATTTCAGGTGTACCTAATGATATTAAGTATACTGATGTTAGAACTCTACTGGAATCTATAGAAGGTGTCAAGATGATTCACAGTCTTCATATCTGGCCTCTTACTATGGGACGTAACGCCGTCATGGTTCATATCACAAAAGGTAGTTTATATCGTCTTACCCTGAGACTAAAGCCGTTGCCAATTGCGCTTTCATGTCTTTGTTGTATATCATTTGATTAGACCCACCAGGGAAACCGGCGTGTGTCTGTGTTTGCAGAGGGGTAGTCTTAGACGTCCAGAACCTCGATTGTCTTCAATAGCATATATTCGTCTGTCATTTCTGTTTTCCGGAAGCTGTCTTTAATCGATATATTTGATTGAAATTTAGTAGGCCTACACTGCTGTAGGCTATAGCAGAGTCATTGATAAAGTTCGCGTGTTGTGGGGTTGCGTTCATTTCAGGCGGAATCATATCATCTTACCGTCGGATATAACAAACGCATTAATATATATTATCGGGGATTGTAGTAAAAGCGTTAAAGATGAATTCCCACAACAGTATTTATAGTATAGTGTAGTATGGCATAATATATGGAAAGTATAAGCCGGGGATTGTAGTAGAAGCGTTAAAGATGCATTCCTACAACAGTATTTATAGTGTAGTGCAGTATGGCATATATGGAAAGTATAAGTCACTTAAGACAGGACAGGACAGGACAAAACTGTAACGGTGTTCCTAGCTCGCAGTCTATCTCCTCGAGTGACATAAAGAGCGCGCCATGTGTTGATTTTATATATAGCGGTTGTGAGAGCATTGGGGTGCTTAAACGTCCAGTAGACTCGACGATTAAACATCGGATACCGAAGATGGCATTGGATAATCCAAGAATTGACTTATGCTTCGATATTTATGGTAATTGGACAGCGACTAAAGACAAATACAACTATTATTGTATTCTCCCTCAATCAAGTCACATGACAAAAAAGGCTTTTTAAAACAGGTTATTGCGTCCCGAGGTAGTTTTCTTGCAATAAAAATGTTTTGAGTGGGATTTGAAGCAAACTTTTGATTAATTAGTCTGATTACATTTCTAGTCCAAATATATCATCAAATCACACAGTTTGTACGCGGGAAAGCAGCTTTTAAAAAAATGAAACTTGGTCTTATGAACCAGATTGTTTTTAGTAAAGTATATTCCATGGGCATGTGAGTTACTGTTAATATTGGAGGAATTTAAATGTTTACAGGTGACAAGGTTGAGAGCGAAGGAATAATGGAAATGGCAACAAACAGATTAAAAACAGATTTCAACTTTTCTTATATCACAGTACAAGTAGAAAAGTATAACTCTGAAGTTATGCCTGCTTGTAAAGATTGTCAAGATCTCTGTTGAGTGAGATTTAAAGCTGATTTCTTAAAACACTTCTGTTGATAATGGAGGCTCATCTGACCGTTATTGGTAGAGTTTCAACTGAATTGTGTTAATTGGGATTTAGTTGACTTTTATTAATGGAGGCTAAACTTTTTGCTGTTAATGAGTTCAAAACTGACTTTCCAAAATAACATTAAAACAATTCTGAATTTTGTCAGTCAGATAAAACTGACTGTTTGAAACTAACACCACAATCTCTTAAAAACCATTGTACCAACATCACAACTCCTTTTGCTGTCGCTGTTTGTCTCCTTATATAAAATCTGTCAAAACCTAAGATTCTAGTTAACTTCTTATATTATTTATTTTCTATGAATATGTCTCTTAAATTTTAATTATTATTTATGTGTTCTTTGTAATCAATATATCAATAAACATATTACATAATGGAAGGTTATTTTGTTTGCAGGGTGGAGGGGGTGGGAGCGTTATTGATTGTATGACACCTAAGGTCAAAGGCGGGTAGGGGGTTCAAAACCAAAAGAAACTGAAGATGATAACGCCCGAATACGATGATATTTCCTTCCAGGGTATAAGGGTGTGTGTTGCTATGTGCCCTCCTTGAGAAAATGTGCCCTCTGCTGAAAAACGTGCCCTCGAAATTTTAAAACTTAGGGAAATGTCCGCGTCAGGGTCAATATATTCCCATTGCCCTAATGACAATATAATGCCCCCTTTTCGCGCTGTCCTTCTCTTCTCCAAACACAATCCAGTGTGACAAGAAATGGCGATCGACTGATTTTGGCTGGTTTGCAACCATTTGTAATAACAATTTCGCATTTAACCACGTATTAAAATTGCCAGGGGCGGACTGGGTAGCTCTGTGCCCTCGGACCAACTGATTTTGTTGGGGTCCCCATCGCGGTGAAGAATTCGTGAAATGATAAGACGAAACTAGTTTGATTCACTTGCACCTCGCTCACAGATCATTTTTGTACGTCCACATTCAAAATGTATAGGTATAGGGAGCCACGGTGGCTAGGTGGTTAAGACGCTGGCTCGCTAGACTGGAGGTCGGGTGTTCGATCCCTGCATTGGCCGAGAAAGTTCATCTGAATTTTCCGACGTGGTTTCCCCTTGTCAGTGGTGCAGAACGGAGGGCCTGGCAAGGACAGCTGTCTAGTCCTTCGGATGAGACGAAAAACTGAGGTCCCGTGTATACATTGGAATGCACGTAAAAGATCCCTTGGCAGTTGGAATTCGATATAAGAGTAGGCGATAGTGCCGCTGCCCGGGCAAAATTTCCCTCATAGCACAATGTATGGCGTATGCCCGTCTTCATTAGCCCAGTATATAGGAGCAGAACAGTAGGACGTTAAACCCCATTTCATTTCATTTCATTTCATTGTATACGTATAGTATTGCCGTCGCCCCTGTCTCTGTGTGTATATACGTATGGGTATGTGTCATTCGGCAAACCTCGACAGATTCTACGCATCTAATCTCGGCTGTATGACAATTTCCGCCATATTTGAACTATTTTAAAGGTTCCGAATGAAAAATGGCTGCCCCCATGGAGATTTCTGTGGAGAGTGTATTATATCAACAAACGTCACGTTTGGCATTGGGTTTGGGGAATTACCAGGGAATTTTATCAAACCAGCAGCCTTGAGACAATATCTCTGCTCATTTAGGTATATACACTCAACAAAAGACGCAATTTGGGACTTTTTTGTAAAAGCGACACGTTTTCCTGTTTAAAGTAAACCGGCAGCCGCATCGCAAATGTATGGGCGTAGGTACATATCACTTACTGTCATACAGCCGAGATTAGATGTAGGGTAACGGAATCTGTCGAGATTTGCCGAGTGGGGTATGTGTGTGTATCTGTGGATTGCCTACAGGGCGCAATTCTTAATAGATTGTCTTGAAACGTTGCATACTTTTTCCTTATGTCATAAGGATGATCCCTATTTCTTTTGGTGCATCCCCGACCCCCAGGGGCTTAGCCGAGCCCATTTTTGTGTATTTACTTGTTTGTCAGCTACAGGCCACAATTCGGAATGGATCATCTTGAAACTTTGCATACTTATGCCTTATACCCCAAGGATCATCACTATTTATTGTGGTGAATGCAGAGAAACGTCCATTTTTTTCTTTGTATGCCTGTGTGTTGCCCGCAGGCCGCAATTCTTAATGCATCAACTTGAAAACTTTTCATACTTACTCCTTATACCCTAAGGATTATCTCTATTATTTTTTGGTACATGTCCGCCCCCTGGGACAGAGCAAAGCCCAATTTTTTGTGTCTGTGTGTCACCTACATGCCGCAATTTACATACCTATTCTTTATACCCTAAGGATGAGCCCTATTGTTTTGGTGAATGCCTGACCCCCAGGTGCAGAGCCACACCTATTTTTTCTTTGTGCGTGTTGTCCACAGGCCGCAATTCTTAAAGGGTCGTTTTGGAACTTGCATATGTATTCCCTATAGCCTAAGGATAACAACTATTGATTTTGGTGCATGCCCCGACCCCCAGGAGCAGAGAAACACCCAATTTTTTTATGGTTATCGTATACAGGCCGTAATTCTGAATGGGTCATCTTGGAACTTGGGATGTTTCCTTATAGCCTAAAAACGGCAACTGTTGATTTCGTTGCATGACTCGACCCCCCAGGGGCTGAGCAACGCCCATTTATTTTATTTTTTGTGTTTAGCGCCTGAAGGCTATAATTCTGATTGGATTTGTCTTGGGACTTGGTATACTTATTCTCTATACCCTAAGGACGGTAACTATTGATTTTGATGTATGCCCAGACTATCAGGAATGTGGACGTATATTGCAGCGCTACCGATGCTCTTGTTCTCCTCGGATTGAGGCCCCCGAACCAACTGGTTTCGTTGCCCCCCTCCCCACATCATGGTGAAGAACACGTGACAGCTGACATGACTAAAAAACGAAACTATACTCAGCCAAATTAAAAACTTGACACTCGGGATTTTTGGGACTAGATTTTTATTATTTGGTTTAAGGCAACTATTTTAGTGTTATGTTGTGCACAGACGACCTTGACATCAACAGAAAGCAAGAATACGTCTCGCCGAAAGTCCTTGACATTGATAACGTTCGTGATGTCACAATACCCCCCAAAATGAAATTCACAGACTTGGAGAACAATCGGAATAAAGTGTTTAGTAACGGTTGTGGCCTCCTCTAGCGTCTCGTACTGTCACACAACGTCTTCTCGTGGATCTCAGAACATTAGTAAACACTACCCGAGGAAGACGTCGCCACTGCTCAGCAAGAGCATGTTGAAGGTCCTGCAACGTCAGTGGTGGATTCACTTGCTGACGAACACGTCGACCCAGTTCGTCCCAGATGTGTTCAATAGGATTAAGGTCGGGGCTAAGCGACGGCCAATCCAGGACTTGGACACCAGCATTCTGGGTAGCAATTGCTGTATGGGGTCGGGCATTGTCTTGTTGAAACGTTAGTCCAGGCCCATGCATAAACGGAAGAAGAACAGGTTGCAAAATCTGATCCCTGTACTGGACAGCATTTAAGTTCCCTTGGACAACAACAAGAGGAGAACGTCCATGTGCACAAAAAGAACCCCAAACCATGACGCTGCCGCCACCAAATCGGTCAACTTCTCTGCTTGAGCGTAACGTTCACCTCGTCTGCGGTACACTCGGGCCCTGCCATCGGCAAATCTCAATGTGAAACGAGATTCGTCACTAAAGACAACCGAATTCCACTGTCTTTGAGTAAATCTTATGTGTCTTGTGGCCCACACAAGTCGGTTAAGGCGATGAAGAGGTGTCAATATTGGTCCATTATAGGGCCTCCGAGTTCGAAGACCAGCAGCCTGCAAGCGATTTCGAACAGTTTGTGTATGTTACCCTTCCACCAAACATCTCTCTACTTGTGCAGGTTGCAGTGACAAATCTGTTTCTAAGATCACGTAATCGTATTGCTTGATCTTCCTGGAGTGACGTCACACGTGGCGCTCCCGCCCTTGGGCGGTCGGCAATAGTTCCAGTTTGAAGCATTCTCATTCTAAGATTAACTATTGTCTGGCGTGAACAATTAAAGGCCCTGGCAACAGTGACCACAGACTGGCCAGCATAGAGCCTACCTATAGCACGTAGACGTTCTACATTTGAAAGGCGCGGCATTTTCTAACAAAGATGAAAATAACAATTTTAATTTGTTTTTCCAGTTCAAGTTACGTGTGCGTGTTCAGTTTAAGCAAACTTGCATCGATTGACCTAACGAGTTTGTGTTTGCACGTGTTTTTCAGGTTTTTCATCTTTATATGCTTTAAAGTCACGTGATCCACGTGACTTTACAATTTTATGAAATTAAAGGCTTCTTACTACTCACTATCGTTAGAAACACTTTAAAATTTATTTGACTTACCAGAAAAAAAATTTTGTTGAAATTCATCAGTGTCAAGTTTTTAATTTGGCTGAGTATATATAGTTTGATTCACCATTCCTGCACCTCACTCATTGATCATTTTTCTCCTCGGATTGGGGCCATTACGAATTTCAGTGGAAACGAAGATGAATTTTATTTATATTGGAAAAAAACAAAACATGTCAAGTTATGTTTTTCTAATCGGGGCCGAAGGATGGCTTCCAGATTAGATTCCACAAGCGGATTAATATTTCCATAGTATTCAGAACTAATTAATTTGTTTTGGTTTTATTTATTTAGGGAAATGAAAAAAAATAAGCAGAGCTTGCAACACGCCGTTATTCGGGCGAAGGAAACTGTTTAAGCTGTTAGCATCAAGGCCAATACGCTAACCGTTACTACGAACCCTATTGACATTTATTCTGTCACCGGTAACTTCCTTGGTCGGGCTCAATGTAAAAGTTTTACATCGGTGCCACGGCCGGTGTCTAAATCTTCCATCATTTTCTCATTCTTGGGGCTGTGTCAATTTACTCTCAACTACTCCCTCATTAGCAGAATCGAATGAAATTTGGCAGGTACATTTTGTAAGGAATACCTTCTCCTTTTGATGCTTATTTTTCTTTACTCGTTGGTCGTTAAGTTCTGTTTGTGATTGTTGCTAACTATGTTCTTGTTCAGATCCCCAGGACTTAGTCATAAGCCCTCAACCAAGTGGCAATATAATGGTATGTCATGGCTCAAGGAAATGTCAAATCGATTCTAGCATGTGTCGCAGAACCCACACATTTAAGTGCCGCCTACACTTCTTCGGGACCTCAGCACGCCTCTACCCAAAGTTTTAAAGTGCTCGAATAAGCTGCTGTGTAGGCGTATAATTCCACGTTTTGTATGCCTATCTCTGTTATTAGAAAATGTAACGATAGTTTCGCTCGCCATGCAAATATATATGTACGTAAAAACCAAATGAATTATTGGCCAATTTTTAGTAAATTAATAGCACACTTTTGGAAATAAATAAACTAATTATTTTTTTCGTTTGTTTGTTTTTCGAGGGATTGGTTAATTGAACTATATAAAAGTTTTTGGTTAGGTGAAATGACAAGCCAAATTGAAAGTACACCACAATGTTAACGCTCCGAGATCGATATTCATATTTCCATTATTTTGCGTGATATATGAAAAGAAAAAAAATGTCTATACGGAATGTGTAGCCTATCAGGGGATTAGACGGTGCGTGAATCGTGTATATTCAGAATTTGTATGCAATACACATATCCATTGATACAATTTTTTCAAGTGGCTGTTTTCAATCACCCAGAGGACAAGCCTACATTACAGTGTTATCGATTCCTTTCGACGGGGTTATGGAAAATGTATTTTTGATCAACACTGGTTATACATGTAGGCCTAGTTCGGTTAGTCTGTTAGGTTCCATGGGTTGGTCCGTCTTGTTTGGTACAGGATAATATTTTCACATGAAGATACTTTAAACACACATGTACTCTGTAGGCCAGTATGTAGCTGTTTCAACGCCCTTTCCTTGTAGGTATACATACCTATCTCCAAGCGACGATCGATCACAATATAACATCTATTATAAAGCCGGCCGGCGTTCTTCCTGATATCTTATGAGGGGGATTTCCACTGATCGATTCACATACCTACCTATAATAATAATAATAATAATAATGCTTTATTACACAACTGCATGGTATATACACAAGTCTGGTAAAGCATACAATACAAATTACAATACAATAAATAATAAACAAGAAATTACAGAATAAGATTTACAGAGATTTCTATAATTTACCGTTATACAGAAAGACTTTATGACCTCGTCTAAATCTTCTAAATTGGAGTAGTTTCCCCTCTATCGACAACACGTGTGTCTAGGAGTCCATATGTCAAACACATTCAACGTAAATTTATGTATGCCTAACAGTTTTGTTTATTTTGCACAACACTGGACCTTGATTTATATGTAAAAAATTTTTAATGTTGACCGATAGGGCTACAATTATTATATGCAATTCGCTTATACAATTTGTGATATAGGCGCTTACCATTATCCAGTTTTATGGGGAAATCATTTAATTTATCCCATTGGCATTAATTCCTATCAAAACTTTTAGTATCAAAAGATCTCTCATATCTAGCCTAGGCTCTACTACAGGAATAACATTTTGGCTAATTATATAATGGTTCAAATAAAAGTCATGCAATAACATATACATTGGTTTTTTTGTTTTGTTTTTTTTTTTAAATTCAATGACAATTTAATTGTTGTGGTGCAGATACAGATGTGAGCAACCGTTTAAAGTTTGGCCTCGATCAGTCCAATTGCCTATTTATTTTTTTTTTTTATATTTTTTTTACAGAATAAATCAAACAATTGCTATATTCCATCTACATCTAGGATAGTGTAATAAAAGAAAAGAATATATAGGTTTGCGACAACCTTTTCCGTATTTGACAGTCAGTTTTTAACCCTTCAAAGATTTTTAAATATGATATACTTGCGTAATGATGTCTAATCCCGGATTTGATTATTTCAGTGGTCAAATTAAAACGTGTGATTCGTGACTTGTTTTGTTTTATTTGGATTTAAATGAAGAACAGCGGGGCACATAAAAAAAAGAGAGTTCGATTAATTTTCATAAATAATGTCGGGTCTCTGTGATCGTCTAAATAAATTGACTTCTTGAAGAAATTAATTTATTCATGTAAAGAACATCAATATGTTTTTAAAAAAATATACATATCATTAGGTTCTAGATTAAAGTAAAATTTATGAAAGGCTAGATTTTCCGCAGATTTTATTTGACATTAGGGCCGGAAAATCCTGCTAAACAACTCATCAAATAGGCCAACATTACACCAAACTTCTGATTGGTTGTAAAGGGGGCGGGGCACATTTGCAATGCAACTGTGTATGTTGGCACGCCCCATTATCAATTAAAACCTTTATTTTGGCTATTTTATATTAAAAAAATTGAAAATATCTTATTATCTTTACCCGCCGAAATATCTAAATCCAGTTATGGTTCATAAATTCATGTCAGGATGAGCCCCGACAAGTCTCGTGACTCATGTACCGTCTGCTACGTTACCCCACGAGAACTGGGCGAGCTGACGATGGCTAACATGAATTTTGACGGCATGAACGGGTCAGATATGGACACTTCTGATTCTAGGAAAAGGCCATTGGATGGAGAAACAGATAACGGGGTCACTAAACGATCTAACCAAGGTGGAGGTTAGGGTGCATCTTTAATATTTTGTGTGTTATTACGAAGTTTTTACACCTACTAAGCTGCGTTGAGAACCAATATGGCGGAGCTATCTGCCGGTGATTATTCGTGGCCCACTGAAAAATTTTCGGAATTTCTACATTAATGTTATATTATATTAATTTATTTTATTTTGAACGAAGCTTGAAATGATTTTTGACAATACTGGTGATTTTAGCAATGGTTTATGTGGATTATTGCGTGTAAAATAACTTTCTTTTAGCCTAGCGACTGCCTGCGCAATAGAACGATCTTGTAAGGGCATGCATGTACAAACGTGTCTAATTTTTAGTCCCGATTCCGTTCTGGCTATTGTTCAAGAGTGTTAGATACACCATGACCTTATATACGTACTTATAGAAGCGATCAGTGGCTTTAATCCACAGTGCTCCGGACTGATCGGGCAAAGCAGACGAACTGAGGTCAGACAACTTAGCGCGAAGGACGGTCACTGTGAACGAATTATGACGCTTCTCGACCTAAATTCTTGTTTCAATACCGTGGATGTGAACATGGTAGATTCTATGGACGTGGATAAATTTCACATATGGAGAGGTAAATTTCATATTACCCCATGTTCATTAATAATTCAGTCATTTCCCAATCCATTTTCCTCAGAAAAAAATCATTTGCTCGGCCGGACTAGCTCTGGGCGATACACCCACCGGTCGCCGATCTACTTGACTGATGTCGTATTTGTTGACGATGTGAATGCATGCATGACTTGACCACGTGTCAAAAATTAAACAGTCCGTGTTTTAGTACACCTCATGGTAACCAAGGCTTCTCATTCCCAATTTGGTTCTCTAACCTGCAGATTGGCTATACCACGGAACATTGTTGCCAAAAATAGAAACTACTTCTTCAATAACGTGTAAATGACAGCACCATAAGGTGGAGGTGGGCGAAACTCATTCACAGTGATAACGAAATCTGTTCATGTTTGATGATGAAATTTCCAATTTATAACAGTGTTACAGGTATTCATAGAGTTCATGAATTGAAATATTTTCATTTTTTGTTCCTGTTTATAATCAAAGTAGTGAAAATACAGATGAATGTTGTCCATATTGGTTTCTTATCATGTGATCATGATGGCTGCTTGTTTTGCTGATCATGGGCTTCATAAACTTTTATTTTCAGCTAGGATGTTACAAAGTTGTAAATGGATTATGAGTTTCATTAAGTTATAGAGATGTTTTGATAGATTTTTTTGTGCAAGACATTTTAGTTTGAGAGGAGGTATAATTTACATGAGGGTAGAGTGAATTGATTATAATATATAATGCAGAGATCCATGTTTGTAATGATATGTTCTGTAGCCATGGAGGTACAACTCAAAATCTATATTACCATATGGTGTTTGGTATATGGCATGATTTTTATTTATATGGTCAGATAAATATGGGCGTGACTATATTTTTGAAATATATGATAGTTCGTTATTAATCATTAGTTATATTTGGAAGGTAATTTAATTCATTTATGTAAATTATTGCATTGAGAGTGTTCTAAGTTCACTTTCGGTTACCATGTGCTATTCATATATTTTTACCTGTAAATTGAGCATAGTCGGTCTGATATACTGTACTCTACTTTCTATACTTAAACACAAGATAGATGGATGGGCTTATACATGTACATGTCTGTTCTCAACTATACCACTACTCTCTAGTACCAAGTTCTCAAATTTCATTAGCCAAAGTTATTTTCGAATAAGTGCCAATCTATTGCTGATAAATTCCTTAGATAGCAGAGAACTCTGTCTAGAAATAATCTTATCTGATATTACCTGCATTTTAGGTTGAGTATGATCATGAATAAAAGAAATATAAAACTTTTAATATGTGTACATGTAAGGTTATTGGGCTATATAAAATAGATAGATACATTCAATGTATACCTATAGATATTTCTTCGATGCTATATAAATCTTACTTTTAGATTTTTATGCCTTAGTTTTCTTGATTGAATTTTATTTTCATTTTTTTAGTTGGGTAAGTTGTGGATGTTTGTGTGACATTATCTTGCATTTATGTTGAAATATTCAAATGCTAAGTATTTGAGTGTTTTTATCAAATAAATGAGATGTGGTATTAGATGTTCTAGAGGTCAAGCACTTAAGACTGTCAAATGAAAAGGATAATCTATACCATGCATAGCTCCTGACAAGTTTCACTACTTCATAGTTAAATGATGCAAAACTCTAGTTTAGACTTTGAATTTCGTTAGTGGATGCTGCTATGTAGAATGTTTTAAAGAATATTTTATGCGTGTACTTGTTATTGTTGGTGGTAAATTGAATAATAATTTTAAAGTATAAAATCAATGGATTTATGAAATTTGGGTTGATTTATTATTTGTTTATCATTGTTTGACTTCAGTCTTTGGCTTCCAGGCTTTACCAATTGTGTTCTAGTTAGTTGTATAACAGTGTTATCAATCCGCAATGATAAAGCATTTTGAAACCAAACATTTTGTGACCCCAATCATTGATGAACATATTTATTAATTCATTTTACCCTCTTAAATCTGATCCACGTTTCATTCCTATCATTCACACTGCATACCATGTACACATCAAGGTCAAATCTAATCGTTTACGACTCTTGCCATTTTTTTTCTTCATTTATCTATTCGGAATCGAACATCAATGACAGCCACCGCTAAACCATTGCTATTTCAATCATCCAGTTAGTTTAATTTTTATTTCTGATTTTAAATTAACCACTGTTCATTCATTCAACAGGTGTTGTTTCATGGTTGCTTGAGAATCCTGACATATTCAAATATAATGGAAAAGATATCAATAACAAATTGCATGGCAATTGTTTTATTTTTTATGGTTCTGAAAATTTGTCATATCCAGTACCATAAATTTTTTTTATCTAAATCTGATTATTGTCTGTTGCTCTTGAAAAGTGAATTATATTTCTCATATCTCTATCATATCTTTCAGGACTTTGTCACCTGACTTGGTCGAATGCCATCATTTTTAAAAAAAAAAAAATATCAAAGAATTTGTGGTGACGTCTTGAACTACTTGTGTGTTGCTCAAGATTGTGCTTATGGTGTTGATTTTTGCAGGGATCTTTAACACGTTATTTAGATGCAATTAATGGATTGAAGTAGGGTTGCCGGTCAAACCACATGGATTTTCTCGTACTACTAGTACTCCCAAATCCACCAATGTCTTCTTGAGACCCTTGCGTGTGTGCAATTTATTTATGTAACAGATAAGCTCTGCATTATTAAATGTAGCGACAATAGATACTATAAATTTGTGATAAAATATGCATTTGGATTAGGGGAGAAATGTCTTTTTCGCAGTCATTCGATTCTCAAACATTTTTCACCAAATGTTGATTGTTCACACTACATGATCGAAAATAAATGTCATCGGAGCCCCAAACATCTTTTCATTTGATGCATCGATATATACCAACAAGGTCAATAATCACATCCACAATCCATTAATCAATAATAACAGCACCACTGTTCACCTGATTCACTTTGCAGACAGAAGCAGATCAATCAATTTTGGGTGCTATAATGTCATATAATCTCATGTTCACATTGAGCTTATACCCGATAAAACACCCTAACACACCACCCTCATTGATCAAACTTAAAGGAGATTAAACATGTACCCAACTTTTTAAATCTAAACTAGCGAAAATTATAACACCCAGAGAGTTCTCATGATGTCACCACATCCTAGATATATTTTTTTTAGTTGCATGTACTTGGACAATCATATGACCTTGTTCTCAATGCAGCTGAAATATTGGCATCCTTCTAATAAGATAAAATTGTTTTAATATGTAACAAAATATTTCCCTTTAAAGGTTATACAAGGTTATTGTTGTCTTCACTCTGGGATGCTTGCATAAAATTATTGAACACTGTACACATGTATGGTACTAAACTGTGATACAGTAAACTCCATTTTGTATATTTCAATCCACAATACTGTAAATGCAGTAAGATTACTTCAAATTGACAACTTGCAAGCTTGCATTACAATCCTACTTACCGGCATATTCTGAACAGGGATGAGAAATGTTGTAGACATTAGTGACTTGAGTACGGTCGTATGTCAGCAAATTTATTATATTATGGTTAAATTTCAGCTTATTAAATTTTTCAGTACTTTAACCTAGTATTAGTATGCTTGTTTGTGTATTGACAGGACCAGGAATGATAAAACTATTCAACTGTAGAAATGAAACAAAGAGGAATGGAATGAGATCACTTCAAAATTCCTACAAAATATCAAGTTTAATCTGTGCGGAATCATCATACATACCATTTTGAAATCATTCTTTATCAGATTTTAATTTTTCTCACAAATTTTGGCTGTCACAAGATCATTGATTTACATGTACCTTTCATTAGATTAATCACTGCCATGTATTCATATGCTATGCATCAGCCTCATTGTTTCATTTTATCATTCAGCTGGTTTCTATTTAAAGTTATCAGATTTTACTATTCAACCCTTCGGTTTATTTGGCAAAACTTTTACATAAATTTCTCACCTTTTTAATAGCACACTATTGAAATTTGTAAGTATTTCATGTAATAAAATGAAAATACACTTAGGGCTAAATGTTAAAACAAATTCTTTCGAAAATGAAATTAGATAAATTGACTTAATCTGAAAAAATAACTTTAGATAAGCCTGTATCAAATAGCTGTATTGAAACTAAGAAATTGGCAATAGAGGAACTATGCTTTGCCTACAGCAAACCATATAAATATGGGGTAAACTAAGGATATTTATTTTTTGCAGGACATGAAAATTACCCAGATGGCCATTCAACAGAAACAGGTAAATTAAAGTCATTTTGGCAAAGGCTTAATGCTAACGTTTAAAATAGAAAGTGATATGATGAGCATTAATAAATTTAATGTCTAGTTATTAACTTTACAAACACATGCACATGTAAGTCTATTCTGTACCCAAACTGGCCTTCTAAAATTATTGTTAAAAGGAAAAGAACAATGCACACACAAAAATGAAAAGACTGTTTAAATAAAGGAATGCAGTGCGTCTGTGGTTTATATTTTTGGCAAGTTCAATGGCTCTGGCAAATTCAATGCGTTTTTACCTACAAAATTGGTTTCAGTACGGCATTTAGACATCATCGTCAATTTATTATCACATGCATTTAACATCCATCTCAAAACATTATCATTACATTTATTCACTGTTACGTTACACAATCATATACCTTCATTCACCACATGCTGTTAACAAATCACACCTGAATTTCAATGCCATTTCACTTCAGTATCCGCCATAACTTTTTTAACCATTGCCCAATTCAGTCTGCTTTTTCATAGCACATTGTCCATTGTTTTGTTTTTTTTTGTGATCTGATCATATTTTTGTTTTTCCCCCCTTCCAACTGTGTTTCAAATGTTTGATTATGATTAGCTCTCAATTGCTATGTGATCTTTACAGCAAGATACCTTTCGAACCATATAAAATTTCGCCAAATAACATTTTTTGATACCTTCCTAGTATTCTAATCTAATCTTTCTGAATAAAAAAGAAATGATTATTCGTTCATGGATTATGTTAGTCCAACTATTGGCTAATATTTGGTATGTGAATTTCAACAAGATAAAAATTCTTAATTTGGGTGAAGCTTCAGCATTGGTGTAGCAATGGTTCTTCGCGCCCAGGAATAAAAACACTATGGCACCTCCACGCGGGTTGTCATAATGTTGTCCTAGTTTCCAAGATTATGTTGAATTAAGTATTGATTGGAGAAAAAAGCATTAAAGTGAAATATATTTTATTGTTGTATTGCATAATGTTATGTTGTAACATATATTTGAGTAGCAATAAAAATCTCACAGAATAAGAGGGCATGCATATATGTAATTTGCACCTCTTTTACACTACGTCCATAGCGATTACTTGACTTTTCCCATCTATGCCACTGGGCTTTAGAATCTGTTCACCACTCAGATAGCTGTTTTTACTACAGTGAACAAGCAAATTACCTCCCGTCAGGTTTAGTGTTGTAAATGAAATTGGATGGATTGTGTAATTATTCCAAATATTGTACGTAACAGTACAAACACTACATGCATTCACATCGGCTCATCACCCCTGTCTATTAGTAGGTCCAACTTTGATTATAATCATGCAACAGTTTTAGAAAAAAGTCTTTTGGGCTTATTCAACTACTTATAGAATTGAATTGTGTATCAGTTACTTGCAGAGTAATTGAAATGTGGTCGTATATGTCTTTGTCCCCGTCTGTTGGTCCGCCGTTCCCAATTGCTTGTGAACGCTCTAGAGATTAAAGTTAATTTCCGTTTGACTGTAAATTTATACACACTGTTTAAGGTCATCAGGCGAAGAATCCTATTGATTCCCAATAATTACTGCCAGAGTTATGGCCCTTGATCACTTTGAAAAAGATGAAGAAGCCTATTGATTTTCAAATATTTTCAATAATTACTGCCAGAGTTATAGCTCTTGACCTCTTTGAAAAATATTGTAGAAGCTCTTGAGGCTAAAGTTAATATCTGATTGATTTTTATACACCCACATTTTCATGTGGACGTATATTGTCGTCACCCCTGTCCGTCCGTCCACAATTGTTTGTGAACAGTCTACAGTTCACAATTTTTATCCTAATTCAATGGAACTTGAAATATAGGTTTATCACCCTAAGATCTCGGTTCCTTTCGATATTGGCATGTATCGGACCGTAACTTCATGGATTATGGCCCCTGATTGTACGAAAAGTCACGTTTTCAGCTTGTGAACACTGTGGAGGTCACAATATTTATCCGATTTGGTTTAAACTTGAAATGTATGCTTATAACCCAAAGATCTCGGTTCCTTTCGGTATTCGTGCATATCGGAACGTAACTTCCTGAATTATGGCCCCTGATTGTACGAAAAATCGCGTTTTTAGCTTGTGGACCCTGTAGAGGTCATAATTTTTATCCAATTTAAAAAACCGTATTATTATATCGCCGTTACACCCTAAGGACGACTGAGTTCGAATTAATTGAAAATCCGCCCAAAACTGACACTTAAAATGGCCGCCCTTCGTTCTCAAATAGCGTAAAAATATGGTATATCAAGGTTGTGGACCCTATAGAGGTCACAATTTTTATCCGATTTTGTTGAAACTTTAAATGTGAGTTTATAACCCAAAGATCTCGGTTCCTTTCGATATTCGCGCATATCGGACCGTAACTTCATGAATTATGGCCCCTTATTGTACGAAAAATCACGTTTTTAGCTTGTGGACCCTATAGAGGTCCAATTTAAAAAAACGTTTTATTATATCACCGTTAAACTCTAAGGACGGGTGAGTTTGAATTTCGTGAACATCAGCCCAAAACTGACCGACAAAATGGCAGCCGTTCATTCTCAAATAGCATAAAAATATGGTATATCAAGGTTGTGGACCCTATAGAGGTCACAATTTTTATCCGATTTTGTTGAAACTTGAAATGTGAGTTTATAACCCAAAGATCTCAGTCCCTTTTAATATTCGCGCATATCGGACCGTAACTTACTGACAGATAAAATGGCCGCCCTTTGTTCTCAAATAGCGTAAAAATATGGTATATCAAGGTTGTGGACCCTATAGAGGTCGCGATTTTTATCCGATTTTGTTGAAACTTTAAATGTGAGTTTATAACCCAAAGATCTCGGTTCCTTTCGATATTCGTGCATATCGGACTGTAACTTCCTGAATTATGGTCCCTGATTGTACGAAAAATCACGTTTTTAGCTTTTGGAACCTATAGAGGTCATAATTTTTATCCGATTTAAGAAAACGTATTTTTATATCACCGTTACACACTAAGGACGGCTGTGTTTAAATTTCGTGAAAATCCGCCCAAAACTGACAGACAAAATGGCCGCCCCTCGTTCTCAAATTGCGTAAATATAAGGTATATCAAGGTTGTGGACCTTATAGAGGTCACAATTTTTATCCAATTTTGTTGAAACTTGAAATGTAAGTTTATAACCCAAAGATCTTGGTTCTTTTCGATATTTGCGCATATCGAATTGTAATTTCCTGAAGTATGGCCCTTGATTGTAGGAAAAATCACTTTCGTTTTAGCTTGTTTTCTATCCATCTCTCGAAAATGTGGGCGTATCCTGCCTGGCAGCTGCTGGTTAACTTACACACATTGTTTCAGGTCATGAGACAAAGAATCCTATTCATTTTCAACGATTTCTGATAATTACTGCCAGAGTTAAGGCCCTTGATCACATTGAAAAATCTTGTCGACACTCTAGAGGCTAAAGTTAATATAAAATGTTTTAGGTCATGATAATGTTTTCTGATAATTACTTCATGGGTTATTACTCTTAGTCATAATCAGATTTTTATATGTTGTAAATGTTCTCATTACTGACAAAAAAATAATATGTGACAACACTTGTTGATTGCCCGGACAACTTAGCTGATTTGGGCATATTGCAACCTGTCTTTGTTGTAATTACCGCCCTTGATCAATTTGAAAAATCTTTTGAATGCTCTAGATGGTATTATCCTATTGCCTTGAAATTGAATTATATACGGTAGGCCTAGACAGTATTGAGATAAAGAAGCTTATTGATTTTCAATGATTTCCTATAATTACTGTTAGTTATATCCCTTGATCACTATGAAAAATGTTGTGGACACTCTATAGGGTAGAGAGTTATCCAGTTGTCTTGATATTGTCAAGCAGCTTGTAGTTGTCATCTGATTAACAGTGCCATAAATATCATGCATGTTTTGTAGAATAAATGTTAGCTCCCTAGGAAGTACTAGAAACAATTCAAATTTTAATTATTTCATGGGTTGTTACTCAGGATCAACTTTTAATGAATGTGTGACAACCTTTGTGGACTACTCAGAAGACTTTTCTGCTGTAAGGATATTTTCATTGTCTTGTAGTTGTAAACTATCTTGTCTTTATTGTGTATGGTCTTGAAATATAATTGGAGCTTTGATTAAAATGGTGTCAACTTTAATGAAAGTTAGCATGTTTTTAATCTTTTAAAATAGTAACTAATCATTCCACTGTTGATAAAGCTATGCGAGGCCAGTTGATTCATGTTTGTCCCTTCATTTCAGAAGTTTTAATAGTCAAGTATCTCTGTGTTATGAATGTTATCTTCCATATTATGGATATTTCTGACAACATGGCCTCTAGGTGATATTGATATTTGCACCTGAGGGTTTAAACATAAACAAGCCACAGGTCAAAACAGACTACATGTAGTATTACATCAGATTCTTCTTCCTAGGTGTCATCTTCTCATGTAATCTATAATTGCCATCCAGTAGTCCGAGCAGACATTGTGGCCCGGAGCAGAAAAAAATTCATTCCAATAGTAATATCAGTCAATTTGGAAAGTAAATAGTTATATATTTGTTTTGAGATTTTAATAAACACAACCGAATATCAGGCAAAACAATTTGGGTTTGAGATTTTGTTCCAATGCTTCCATGTTAAATTTATTAAAGACTGTGACTTTAGCAATATAGAAGCCTTTGCCGACTACAATATTGTGATAGTTGAATCTCTAATAGGAATATGGTTCAATTCCATACAGTATTTACAAAGATAATCAAAATTTCATTGAGCTCTACTGCTCCCTACGTATCAAAAAGTCTGCCATTTCTATTTGCTGTGATCGAAATGGATGTGCCTGTTAATAAGGCAGATTGAATTCAACCAGGAAGATTATGTAGCATTAGTATTTTGATTTTTATATGCCCATATTTTTATGTGAACATAATTGTTGTCACCCCTGTCCATCCACAATTTGTTTGTGTGCACTCTACAGGT